TGTCACTCTCCTCTGGACTCTTACTAATCTAATATATTAGAGAGACACAGTACTTACCACGTGCTTGACGCCCTGTCCTGGAAAGCAGCATAGGAGAAGTCACCTTTTTTGTAAACCAGCTGTTGTGTGTAACCTACAAAGGGAAGAGACGGGAAGAGGTAGGTGTCTTTTATTTAGCTTCTCATTCCACAGTTTTTCTTCTCATGAGGAAACTATTTTGAAGTACTTTATTTCAGAATAATTGTACTCCAAAATAAGCTTTCTAAATTAAATAAATAAGCTAAATTGAATAATAATAATAGGGATGATCCTGCTTCAGGCAGGAGGTTGGGCTAGATCAGCATTTTCCACCTGTGGTCTGCACACTACACCTAAGGGGTCCACAGAAGATGACACAAGTATGTGAATACCCACACTTACAATTCAGAAGGGTCAGCACCTTCCTTTGAAATATTTTAGGAGTCTGTAAATGAACAAAGGTTGACTGGACTAGATGGCCTGTGGAGGTCCCTTCCAGCCCTACTTCTCTTATGATTTCCATGAGAGACCAGCACTAAAGGACTGGGTGCAGAGAGGGGGGAAGAAACAGAACCAGGTGTTTCACCCTCTAGAGCCAGGCCTGACCCCCGGATAAGGAAAACCTGTATCCTTCACAGCCCCCATCTGAGCTAGCGTGTGGCAGGGAATCCACGCTTCCCCCTCGCCCCACTTTCGCCCTCAAGCAGAGCTAAATATCATCCCATTGCTAGTCTCGTGTCAGCTGCTTGTCTTCCAGGCAGAGCTGCCCTAGGAAATACCCTGGTTTGTGGGTGTAACCAAAGTCCCCTGGTAGGATGGTGTCCAGAGCTGGACATGGCCAGAGAAGGATGGTAGTAGAGCCATAGATTAGTCAGGCTGAAAGGGACCTCCAGAGGTCATCTAGTCTAACCCCCTGGCCAAGGCAAGATGGACTCCTCAAGAGTTCCTTTGAAGGGGTCATTGGCTGTCAGCAGTAGGCAGGTGGTCCGTGGCAGCAACACAAGCACTGGGATGGAAGGCACTAGGAAGGAGTCTCTGGCCAGCTGGACCCCCACAGACTGTGAAGCCATTTTCATGTCCCTTGTCTGTTCACATCTCCAGGCAGAATTTCACTGGGCAGTTTCCACTGGCTCCTTGGACTCATTTGAGGGCCAGTGGGCACTTGACGTCCCCCCTCAGTACACTCATTTTGAACTTATTACCTTGCTCCCATCCCTGTTTTCTCTTTAGTTGTCCCCTGATATCAATTGACATATAGTCCCATTCCCCCTTGGGGTGGGGGGATAGCCATTATTCTGTTTGCATCAAGCCAACGTTAATCCTATGCATCAAATGGGCCTGGCATTAGGGACAGGTGGAGATAAGGTTAGCTAAGGCTTAATAATACTAGGTAATTCTTTTGTTTCATTATTTCTTAGTTTTCAGAGAGATGCAGATTCATTGTTTCTTTCTTAATTATGGTCTCCAAAGTTGTTCCCAGAGATCTTATTTTTACACTGAATTGAAAAGGTAGCCGACTGCCAGAAAACAAGCAGGTGGAAAAGTAAAACCACAGACAGAAGAGCCAAATACCTTAACGTAATACTGTCTTGCATTTCCAAAGTGAAACATCTGAACAGGCTCTTACTTTAATTCCTAAATTTAAACTCTGTTCAGGTGTTGCAGTTGACTCTCTGCCTGAACAGCTAGAACATTTAAGGACTGCAAAAATTAACTTCTAACTAAAGACCTAAGAATGCATGGTAACTAGTTAATTATTTTCCATAATTAGAGAGGGGAACATCTAGAGACAGGGTTGATTGACTTGCCAACACTAATACAGAGTGTTTGTGCCAGAGCTAGATCAGGTGCTTTAAAGAACAAAGGAAGTGAATATTCAAATTGAACTAATCCTCACTGGTAAAAGACTAGTATTGCTTTTCAGCTACATGTAACCTGTGCTAAAAAGGTGTGGCTCTTTGTCTCCTTCTAGTGGCTGGAACACTTGCAGAGGTTTATTATGGGTTTGCTACTGCCTCCAAGCTAACAGAACTTGATTTTTTAGTTTGAGTAACAGAGGTTCATACTTTTTAGATCAGGCAGCCTTGAATCCTATCCCTGCAGGCAACCTACCCAGAGGTAGTACCATCTATATGTAAAAACATTTATTCTCTGCTTGCAATGATATATTTTGCGCATATTGCTTCCAAGTTAGAAAATGAAAAGTTAATGATTTACCATTGATAAAAATCTGATTTGATGCAGAGTTCATATGCTGTGATTATTTTGTCTGGCATGTTCTCTAAATTATATTTTATTCTATGTTTTTAGGTGTATTTGTCTGTCTGAAATCTATTCTTAGAAAAGCTATGAAGCATGTCAGTGCTAAATAAAAGGTCTTTTACTTGATGACGGATTAGGAATGATTATTGATTTTTTTTTTTCTTCTGTTATTTCCAAAATGATTAGGAAACTGTCCTAAATATTTCCTTCAAAAATGTTTGCCATAACAAACAAACATGTTGAAAAAAATTACACCTTCATTACTGAAAAGTAACAGTTACTATAGAGTCTATTCATCATGGATACTTAATGCTGAATCCCATAAGTTAGCTCTTCTTACAACAATTTTTTTGGCCAAATCTTATACGTAGTCCTGACCTAACTGGGCATTTTGCCTGCGTGCATATGGAAGGATTTAGTGGTTAGTAATCCTCTTCAATTTCTGTGTGGTAGGTAAACTTACTTTATAAGGGAATACTTAACATTTTAGCTGTGTACTATTTAAAGGCCCGATTCTGTGAAATGCTGAGCACCCTATACACATCACCTTGCCAAGTCAGGTGCAGAGATTTCTGTTATCAGGCAAGTCTCTTTAATGTATATATAAAGAATGATGAATTATATTTTAACTAAATTAACAGACCAAGTTTGGGAGGTGCATTTACAAAAAGCTATTTTGAGCATTCTCATCATATTAGAGAGTGAGAGACAAGGGCACTTAGGATATCAAGGGTTATGACACTGATGAGATATTTTAAAAAGATTTTTGGTGGATCCAATCTGACATGCTTTTAAAGATAAAATTCAAGTAGAGGTTTAACTTTTGAATAAGGAAAAATCTTGCTAGTGTAATACCCAAAATGTTGTATTTAACACATGGTTATATTTGTGCGTGTGCATTTTTTTCTCTTTTAAACAGAGTCATGCAGCACTGATCAGTTAAAAGCTCTTTAGAGATCTTTGTGTGTTTTAAGATTCACTGGTATACCTGCAGGAATTTTAATTTCTTACAGGAGTTCAGGTAAATCTGAACAGACTCTTGATTTAATTCCTAATGCACTAAGCTCTGTCTAGTGCTAGAACATAGTTTAGGGACTGCAAAAACTAAAGGGTGCCTATGAGCACACAAATGGAAGTTTTGTCTTCAGCTTCAGCGGGTCTAGGATTTCACCCTCCATTTTGTCGTCTCATCTTGTAAATCAAAATCACTGTTGTAGTTCATACTTCCCAAATACAGGGCCTGGAAGATGCTTCATGTCCTGAGGATGCTCAGCTGATGACAGGACAATCACCACTCTTCCCACTGAGTGAAATTCACTCCGGTGTATCAAGCCAGCACAAGACCTTTGAATCACTGAAGCTCATCTCAAAATACAATTTAAAGGTCACTGTCCTTGTGCCAGTCATCTGTACTGGGCTGCATTTCACCTACGATGCAAATAACACTATTCCCCAGAGATTCCCAATGCAGGAATTTATGAATTGTGGATCCAAGGAGGGAGGGGGAGGGGAGGGGGGGTAAAACCCTAGCTCAACTAGAGCCGATAAAAATTTTGTCATAGGCTAGGAAAGTCAAGACTTCACCCATGGAACTAAAATTGCCCATTTCTGTTTGTGTGAATCATTCAGTGTTGAATTATGCACAGAACATGATTTCAGTTGTGACTGGTTTTAAATTTAACTAACATTGGTGTAACTATATTGGATTAAGTGTACTGTTGCTGGTGTTTACAAGGCTGCTTTGAAGCCAACTGGAATTTGGCTGTTGTCTTAAATATGAACATGATTGAGTCTTTTATAAGCATCACCATTCAAACACTTACCAGAGAGGTAAGCTTAAAAACTGGCATGTCTTAACTAATATACTATATTAGTTTCATCAAGACAGCCCTTAGGCAAATGCTAGCAAATCTAGTATGAAGTGTAATAGTCATAGTCAATCTAGAATACCTAACAGAAATAGAGTTGACTCCAACCTTCATTCTCTATATGCAGTCTAGATATAGCGGGCATTTGGCCTTCACTTTGAAAACACTTGTCTGATGACCATCCATTTATAAGACATTAATTGTGTGTTTTGTTTCTTAACTGATAAATAATTTCTCTGGAACCCTCCTTTTTCTCATTCATCCGTTATTATCACAAGTAGTTTTGCTTTGCATTTTTATGTGCACGCTATGTTCATATTACGGTTCTCAGCCTGCTTCAACCTAAATACCACACTGTCCTTTAAAAGTGCATGACAAAATAACAAGATGGGATATAATAAAAAACTTAATCTTGAGGATTCCTTTATTTAAAGCTCAACTGTGATATAACATGAGGATTCCATTCACTTCTATGTGCTGTTTGCAGCATTTGGATTACATAGGTATGGGCGGCTTTAGCATGTTCACTGAGAGAAGTTGGGAAGTCATTTCCTCCTGTTCTTTCACACATGAATAGCTCAGATGCTTGCTGAATGAACACTAGTGAGTCTACAAGGAACATGCAGTACATCAGCTAATTAGTATTATTAATATGTATTGTTTGTCTTGTAGTGACTAGGAAACCAATTATATGCCAGAACTTCATTGTGCTGGCTACTGTACATATGCAGAACAAATATAAATTGACTCTTCCTACCACCATTTTACGTTTGGTTATAGCAAGAAGAAGGACTACGTAAAATGTCAGTTTACCAAGATGTGCTCTCTGTGAGAGAATAGGCCAGTCGTCACAACCACTAAAGGCTTGTCCTTCTGCTGAGATTCCAGTGGCAATGAAGTTGACTAATGTCCGCTGGAATTTTCTTTTACCAGGACACTATTGGATTTTTAAAAAAATAAATTACATTTATCATACCTTTCCCCTTGGCACATTTTTTACAAATTATCTTTAAAGCAATCCAAAATGAGGTGAATGTCACACAAAATTAGAGAACTCAGTCGTGGAAATTAGTTAACCATGCCCCAGCAATCAACCCCTCCAACCACAGTCTCAGTAAATTGGTAGATTTTAGACTAAGCCTGAATAGACACCAGTCTTCAGTCTAAAAGGGACAAAGAGAATGGCCAGTGGATGGTTCTAAAGTTCATCAGCTGATCCCATTTTTTATTTTTAGTGCATAGGAAAGAAGTGGTTACTCAAATACTTAGCATTCAAACCATGCAGGACTTAATAGTCCAGTAGTATCTTGTAAGCTGACACACACTCTTTGGAACACCACAGTTCTCCACGTGTTGTGGTTTCCAAGGATAGCCCTTAGTAGAATGCAGTACAGAAATCCAGCCTAGAGGTCAAAAAGAAATGGGTAACAAGGATATCAAGTGCACATCTAAGAAAATCAATGACAGAATCCCCACTAAAAAAGGAAAAGGCACTTTCAGGCATTGATCTCATCTAAAAGCAATTGGTGGCCAAGAAGGAACGCAACCTAAACCTTATTGACAAATGATAGACAACTCTTTTTCCATAACTGTAGTATATATTATCAACATGCTGGATTCCCCAATCAACATATTTTTTTACTAAGCTGCATTTGCTCTTAACCCCCTCTTATCCAACCCCTACTAAGTCAGGCTGTTAAAAAGCAAAGACATTGCAGTGTCATCATTGAACAAAAAATTAGTGGTACATAGCTTAATGGCACCTCACATTAGATCTCTTGCTAGCTTTTCATGTATGTTGAGTAGGGTAGAGTGGCAAAACAAAACCATGCAAAGCTTCACAAAACAGAGCATACTTGACTACACACACGAAATACACAAGTCCGCAGGGTAGAAAGGACAGAAGGGAACCACTCAACTTGTCAGTGGAGTCAACAATTAATCCATAACTTACTAGTCCATTCAACAAAATTTCATCATTAACTTTAAGGCTGCCAACAGATAAGAAATAATCAGTTAGAACGTGCATGACCATTTTGTCCATCACCAAATTGAGATCTTCTACTAATGAAAATAGTATAATATTTGAACCATATTCTGGCCAAGTACTTCACGAAGTAAACAAAGGAAAATTGTAGACTCCAAATGACACTGGCATCACCTCACCATCAAAGAACTTGATCTGACTTCTTGAACGAATCTACCAACCACTTTTTGGGATGAAATGCAACACCCTACCTCCCCTGAATGAGACATTTATTATCTCAATAAACAACAGACCCATTTATCCTTGCATAAACTTACCAACCCTGAAAATGCAAGACAAAGCCCGCACCACGCATCTACAGCCTCACTAAGATGATGGTGAAAGATCATCCAGAGAACACACAACATTTATTTCTACCCCAGAGAAGTGGAGAATCCAGGCTGACGCCAATCAGTCTTACTTGTAAAGATGGTATAAAGCTCATTTGGGCAAGAAATATGCATTTCTCCCACATACAATGTAATTCCAGCCCCTGGTATTTCTAAACAGTAACAGCACTGATTCCTAGAGAAACCCCCATTGAAAGAGGTTTTGCAGCTCATGAAAGAGAAAAAAGATTGCTTAAAGAAATCAGTAGGCTTAGTTTTGCTAGGGTAAACTGGAAGTGCATATAAAGCACTTGAGAGGTAACCTGGAAAAAGACTTATTGAACTATTCAAAACTGAGTAGATCAGGTGCTCAATCCTCTAGCCCGCAGGCTACATGCAGCCCCCAGCATCATGTCAGCCAGCCCACAGGGTTCTCCATGGGTCTAATATTTGGCAGCCAGGGGGTGGTGGCTCTGATCCCTTGCTGACAAATTTCCAGACCTGGAGGGAGCCCAGCTGGCCAGACAGTGTGGACCCGTGTGCTAAATCAGGCACACAGGTTGGCAAAGGGCCTGATCCCACCACACGGAGCCAGGTGGAGCTAATGTAGAGTCCAAACCAGGCAGCATAGGGACCAATCCCATCATATAGGGATGGATGGGAGTGGCATAGGGCCCAATCCTGGTATGCAGGCCAAGGTGGGGAGCCCCAAGGCCCAATCCTGGTCCACAAGGCCTTATCCTGGCATGCAGGGATGGGCAGAGGCAGCACAGGTCCTGATCCCAGTATTTGGGGCACCCAGATCTGAGCTCAGTGCATGTGGGTCAGCCAAGGCTGCACAGAGCCCAATCCGGGCATACAAAACTGGGCAAAGACAGCCTGAGGCCTGATCCTAGTATGCAGGGCTCAGTCCTGGTATGTGGAGCTGGGCGCAGGGGTGGTGTGGAGCTAGATCCTGGTTCATGGAAGCCAAACAAGGCTGTGCGGGGCCCAACCTTGGTGTGCAGGGCTAAGTGAAGGCAGTGTGGAGCCCTAAAGTCCAATTTTGGTGCATAGGACCAATCCCAGCACGTGGGGCTGGGCAAGGGTAGCACCTGATCCTGGTGCACAGGGCTCAATCCTGGCACAAAAGGACAAGCCAAGTCTACACAGGCCTGATCTGAGTGTGCAGGGCTAGACAGAGGCAGCTTGAGGCCTGATCCTGGTATGCTTGGCCTGATCTTGCTGGGGAACCAGCACTGTGTCACTCATCTGGCCCTCTGAGTCAAAAGGTTGAGCACCACTAGAGTAGATGATTGTTGTCACAGACTACTGCTTATCTGTTACTGAAACCGCGTGGCAGAACCAAAGGATAAATGCATTAGGCAGCTCTAGTTAATTTAAGGAAGAAAGAGAAGCTTGTATATTTCCTAGCATCAATTGTTCTCCTGGCCTTTGACTATATAAGAGCACCGCCCTACATTGTACGCCCTACATCCTGTAATTCAAACTAAGTGGCACCTCTGTTTGTGGAATATGCTCCCTTCTGAGGTCTCTAGAATGCCAGGTAAGGGAGCTTTAGGCAGAGGTGAGAAGGCTTTGCACCATCAGGGCCCACGAACAGGAGATTGATGATTACTACCATGCCCCACACCTGAAGAATGGAGAGGGAAGAGCACACAAGCCCATCAGCAAGATGCAGGACAAGAATGAGACTGACCTAGGGTCCCATTCTGTAGTTGCCTGGAAGATGGTCGTCTCTGGCCGCAAGGTACACGCCAGGGTTACCCCTCCCCTGGAACTGCAAAACAGGTATGCACCCCTCACAGCACCAGCAGAATCATCAGTGGAAGCACCAACTCTGGAAGAAGCCAGGCAGCCAGCCCCCTCCCCCCTACCCCCAGGAAGAGATGCAAGCTGGTCGTGGTGGGTGACTCCCTCCTGAGGGGACTGAGGGAGTGATCTGCCACCCCGATCCTCTAACCCATGAGGTCTGCTGCCATCCAGGAACACACATCTGGGGTGTGGCCAAGAGGATCCCAAAACTGGTCCAACCCTCCAACCGCTACCCCAAGCTCCTCATGCACATGGGCTCAAGTGACATGGCCAGGAACAACCCTAGCTGGGTCATGAGAGACTGCAGGGCTCTGGGAGCTGGGCTCAAGGGGTCAGGGGCGCAGGTAGTTTTCTTCTTGGTCCTCCTGGTTGCAGGTCACAGGTATGGGAGGGATAGGTGCATGGACGAAGTAAGCACAAAACTTCTGCGATGGTGCTACTGTGAGGGCTTCTTTGACCATGGCATGCACCTCAGGGACTGCAGCCTTTTGGGAAGAAACGGCATTCACCTCACAGCAAAGGGGAAGAAGCTTTTCTCAGCCAGAATGGTGGACCTCCTGGACACGGCTTTAAACTGAGATCGTTAGGGGATAGGCCATCAGCCACCAACACAAGCTTGAGAAATGGCAACCTTGAAATCAGCATCACAGGGTATAATAGAAAGCCTTCTCCAACACCAGCCAATGGACATGTTATTCCACCACTTATTAGAAAGCCTAGGACATCCATTGGCAAGCTTAGTTGCCTGTACACTAATGCCATAAGTATGGGAAACAAAAAGGAGAAACTAGCCCTCATACTGACCAACAAGCAATACGATCTTATATGGATCACAAAGACCTGGTGGGACTCCACCTATGACTGGACCACAGGCATAGGGAGATACAACCTGTACAGGAAGGATCGTATTGGAAGAAGGGAGGAGTTGCTCTGTATGTAAAGGAACATTACACCTCCCTTGAGGTGAAAATTGGATGCAAAGAAGGGTGATTTAAGACCCTCTGGGTCAAGATATGGGGAGAGCGTAGGGAAGAAGAATTGATCATAGGAGTTTATTACAGACCCCTGAACCAAGAGGAACAACCTAACCAAAAATTCTCTAGAAAACTGGCAGAGGCTGCACACTCACGGAGCATGGTCATCATGGGTGATTTCAACTACCCAGACATCTCATGGGATGAGCACTCAGCTAGATCTGATCACTCACAAAGCTTCCTCACTTGCATTGAGGAGCTCTAACTCAGGAAGTCTATGAGCCAACCAGGGGCAAGGCATTCCTAGGCATTGTTCTGGCCAAAGGGGATAATCTAGTGAGCAACCTGCAGATTGAAGGGAAACTGGATGACAGCAACCATGAGATGATCACTTTCTCCATGCACTGCAAGCCACAATCAGCCAGTAGGGTACAAATCCTTGATTTTAGGAAAGCTGATTTCCACAAACTCAGGAAATTGGTTGCAGGACTGCGATCCAATGAGGAAGGTGTGCTCTTTACCCAAGGAAGCAATCCTAAAAGCTCAAAGAAAGTCTATTCCCTCTTGCAAGAAAGCCAGCAAAAGAGCTGGGAGACACCCCTGGCTCAACAGGGAAGTCATGAACCTCCTGAAATTAAAGTGAGAAGCCTACAAGGGATGGAAGTCAGGAACAACTATCAAAGAGAAATACTCAGCAGCTGCCTACACCTGTAGGGAGAAGAACAGGACAGCGAAAGCACTAACCGAATATAAATTGGCAACCAGGATCAAGGACAACAAAAAGTCCTTTTTTAAATATGTAGGAAGTCACAAAAGGAACAAGGGAAGTATAGGGCCCTTGATAAATGAAATAGGACGGCTGTTAACCAACACCCAGGACAAAACTGAATTCCTGAATGAATACTTTATGTCGGTATTCCACTAGTCCAAGGATATTAGCCTACTTGACAGGATACAGGATGACCATGGTGTGGGTGACCCCCCTCCCATTGTTGTCATAGATCTTGTGAGGGAGCACATACAAAGGCTAAATATCTATACGTAAGCTGGACTGGACGAACTACACACAAGAGTGCTAAAAGAACTGGCTGATGTCATTGCACAACTGATGGCAAAGTTATTTGAAGACTCATGGCACTCAGGAGAGACTGGAAGAAGCCAATGTGATACCCATCTTTTAGAAAGTGAGAAGGGAGGACCCAAGAAACTACAGGCCAATCAGTCTGACCTCAATCCCAAGTAAAATTTTGGAGAAAATAATCTAAGAAACAATCACAAACAGGCTACCTGAAGGCAGTATTCTGAAGGGTAGCCAAGATGGCTTCATCATGGGCAGGTCATGCCAAAACAACCTCATTTCCTTCTACGATCGGGTTACTTACCACCTGGATAGAGGAAATGAGGTTCATGTCATATACTTGGACTTCAAAAAGGCCTTTGACCTGATCTCCCACAACGCCCTCATGGTTAAATTGGGAAAACGTGGCTTTGAATACTGCATGGTCTGGTGCTAAGTAACTGGCTCGTGGTAGGACCCAAAGGGTCCTAACTGAGCCATTATGGTGGAGAGTGACCAGTGACATCCCTCAGGGGTTAGTACTTGGACCAGTGCTCTTCAACATGTTCATCAATGATTTGGATTCAGGTAAAACAATCTGGCAAAGTTTGCTGATGACACCAAGCTATGGGGGAGCAGTATCACACTCAAAGACAGGCTGGCTATACAGGCCAATCTGGACAGGCTCGTCAAGTAGGCAGACCTCAACCTGCTGTCATTTAATACAGAGAAATGTAAAGTGCTCCATCTGGGGAGAAATAACCCACAACACACCTACAGACTCGGCAGTGCTCTGCTTGCCAGCACCACAACTGAATGAGATCTGGGTGTCATGACTGACAACAAAATGAACTTGAGCCACCAATGCGATGCTATAACTGGTAGAGCTAACCAAACACTGGCAAGGTAAAGGATGCCATCCTCCCACTCTACTCAGCCTTGGTGAGACCACAACTGGAGTACTGTGTCCAGTTCTGGGTGCTGCACTTCAAGAAGGATGTGGCGAAGCTCAAGAGAGTCCAGAGGTGGGCCACATACATGATCAGAGGCCTGGAGACCAAGACGTATGAGGAAAGGCTGAGGGACTTAGGACTGTTCAGCCTGGAGAAGAGAGGACTCAGGGAGGACTTGGTTGCAGCCTAGAAGTATATCAAGGGAGTACATCAGGGTTTGAGGGAGCAGCTACTCACCAAGGTCCCCCAGGAGAGGACAAGAAATAATGGGCACAAGCTGATTAAAGATTGTTTCAGGCTAGACATAAGGAAAAACTTCTTTACAAGCCAAGTACAGAGGCTTTGGAACAGACTCCCCCCAGAAGTGGTACAGTCATCCACCCTAGTGATCTTCAAAAAACGTCTTGACGTCCATCTTGCTGGGATCATTTGATCCTAGCAGTCTTCCTGCCCACATGCAGGGAGGCTGGACCCAATGATCTGGAAGGTCCCTTCTAGCCCCTAACAACTATGAAACTATGATACCTTTCTGTTGTTCTTATTGTCTACTAGATATCCACTAGTAGACAATAAAAACAACTCCCCCCCCACCTAAATTGAGAGAATATTTCCTTTTATTCTAATACTCCTGACCTTAAACCTCCAAAGACAGAGCAAATTGCACTAAATGATTTTAAGCCAACAAGGACTTAGATGAAGTTTTTCAGGTCACTGTAGACAGTCTCATACTATAGTTAACTGCATGGAGAAACTGCACTGCAGCCAAATTCATTCTGTAGCCTCGGTTTAAAGTCAATTCTCTGAACCAGTATAGCATTGAGCTTCTCAGGGAAAATGGTTCCTGGCCCACTGTGTTCAATTCTAGTTATTACTAACAGCATTGTAGCGGTACTGGAATCAGGGCATTGCTGTGCACTGTAGAGCCACATTGTGAGAACCAGTGTTTGCACCAAAATCTCACAATTTAAATTGCTACACTGTGGGAAGAGAGACAGAGGTGCAGACAGATAGAAGTGACTTGTCCAACATCACACAGATAGTCAGTGGCAGAGCTAGGACCAGAACAGGTTTCTGGCTCTCAGTCTTATG